TTCAGGTTTTAATCTTTTGTTGCTAATGTTGAAGTTCATTCCTTTCATCAGTACGCTTTCCTCTGCTTCTGTTAGCTTTCTGTCTGACAAGTTTACAATCCAATTGGCTTTAGTTACTTGTTTGTCATTCGGAGTTTTCGCTATCATGAGTTTATTAAATTTTTTTATTTGTTTCATCTTTGTTTTTTCATAGGTAGTTTCTTTTCGTTTTTGTGCAACTTCTAGTATGCTTTCATACTTTTCCTTTTCAATTGCTCCTTTCAGTTTTTCTTTTGCTTCATCAATATCTTTCCTTATTGTGAATAGTTTTCGTATAATTCCACGTAAGTTTTCTTTGATGCATATTTTTGAGGCATGTGTGAGTGCTGCATTTGCTTTATCAGTAGATATCGGTGATTTTAGTCTCATATATACAGGAATAATTCCATTTTTTAGGCATCTGATGTTGAAAATTCGATGATTCATAAATCGAGATTCAGCTTGATATAAATGTGTGAGTTTGTTGGCCAGTCTTTTAATGGGAAGACCGTCAGTTGAATTAATATCAGTAAAAAGTTTGAGCATTGTGGATTAGATCAAATAAAGTATAATTATATTTTAATAGTTTACACACAATGATAAGTTTTTTTATTGGTAATATTTCGAGCAAAATTACTGCCCGTGTTCACACCAGTGTTGGAATTGTTTGATTCACACATTTATGATTTGTACTCGTATATATAGTTCATTATTTTTGCTCATTCATATTTTTTTTTTTTGTATTTGAGTTGTATTCCAAGTTCATTCATGTTTTTGTATCCAGAATTATATTCCAAGTTGTTGATAGTTGTACTGAGTCACCCTTGTTACATGTATCCGGTGTGACTTTAATGAATATCGATTCTGTTATAAGTAATAGCTCTGTTCTGTCCCAGTAGCCTTTGAAGTTGTGATCTTTAACTCCCAAAGTAATTTATACTAAAACTCTATTTGAAAAATTTAACTTGGATAGATTATGTATATATACATATATATATATATTTCGGGTTTAACTACCCAAGCTTCGTCGACTGTCATGTTGTCCATAAGTGACATTTTTGTTCCTTCCTCTCCTACTATTTATACTGTCTTGTAAAACATACAGTCAGATGTTGATTTCAGCTACAAGTTTTGCTGTTTTTTTCGTTATTCTCTGAATTTTAGATTTTCCAGTTTACAAAGGCTTCTCTCCTGTCATGTCAGCTTTCAATTTTGTTTCTATTCTTGTGTATATATTTTCTGAGGTCTTCAGCATCTGATGAATGCCAGTGATATGAATAAATACGCTTTTATACCGCGAATCTGATCTGTTTTACTTTGTGGAAAGGTTTAATCGATTCTATTCAATACAATTATTAATGAGAAGTTACATTTAGAAATTTGATTACATATACTTGCATACAACTTGTAATATTGTATAATTATCTCTGAACTTCAGTCGTTGCATTTATTGGGTTAGCTTTTCATATTAACGCTTCTTCAAAAATTATCAACATTTTATTCAACCCATGCAGTTGGATTCCCCTCGAATATGCCTTATTTGAACATACGATTGTACAATATTTCATGAATAAGTCATTATAAAGTTTTAGATTCATTAATTGCCTACCATTAGTAGTTTTCTTAAAGAACATGTTATCTTCATCAAAATAGACAGATAAAGCAAGAGCAGGAGTAAAAATCCCGGTGTTCAGCAATCTACTATTTTTTTAGAAAACAGTCACATCTTCTATGGATAAATGTACTATTTACTGGAAAAGTTACCCATGAAATGCTTGAAGAAACCTTACCTTGGCAAACTGAAAATGGTTGGAGGATTCCATCATGAGCTGACATCAGTTAGAGAACCATTGGATAACCAACCTGCGAGTACTGGACAGCTATTTCGTCAGCCTGGTTTGTGACTCTTCATCAGTACGCACCCATCACCAGGGTTCGAACCCAGGGCCCTCTGGTTAAAATGCGTGCTCTTAGACCATTAAGTCACCGGCACCTAATTCAGAGGCCCATGAATTCCAACTTCTGACAATTCGCGACATAACGTGACCACTTCGCAATATTTTCTTCGAATAACTACTGCCTCACGTTCGGACCCCGGTGCATGCCGAAGAGTCCCAAACTAGGACGAAACAGCTGTCCAGTACTCCCTGGTTTTCTGATGGTGGAATCAATACCTGAAAACTGATAATGCTTTGAAGAAGTGACAAATGACGTTAAACCATCATTCTTGTCGCTGTCTGTAATGTTAAGGTAACTTAGTATGCCATCAATAACTTGCTCATTGCCTCTACTTCCGAATGAATTTAATAGATGTGTTCCTGCCTACCTAAGCAAATATTCGCATGTCACTTAAATGCATGATATCTGGACAGAAATAAGGGTGATTTGAGTAAAACTGAAATCTTGTCAGTATTTGGATATATATAATATATAATAAATATAATTTATTATTGTTCCTTTGGGTTCCTAGTGGAACATAGGGCTTCAACTACACGTCTCCACTTGCTTCTGTCTTCTGCTGTACTTTTCACTTGCATCCATGTTAGTCCATACTGTTTCAACTCCTCTTCACACGATCTCCTCCATGTCACTCTTGGCCGTCCCACTCGCCGCTTCCTTTCGGGTTCCACTCGATGGCCTGACGTGCGATGTCACCCAGCGGCCTCCTCAGCGAGTGTCCAATCCATCTCCACTTTCTCCTGCATATTTGTTGGGCGATTGGTTCTTGTTTTGTTTCTTCCCATAGTTTCTTGTTGGCTTATTCTTTCCGGCCATCTGGTCTTGAGTATAGAACGAAGACAGCTGTTGATAAAGGTCTGCAACAAGCTGTTGGAAATATTCTTTGTGACCCGCCAAGTTTCTGATCCGTATAGAAGAAGTGACTTGACGTTTGTATTGAAAATCCGAATTTTTGTTGTTGTTGATGCTGAGTGACGAAGATTTCCAGATTGGTTTCAGGTTGATGAATGTGTTTCTCGCCTTCCCGATTCTCGATTTGACATCCTCGTCCGTTCCTCCTGTAGTTGAGACAATGCTCCCTAGATAAGTGAAAGAAGTAACCTCTTTCAAATCCGTCCCTTTGATGGTGATTGGCGCTGGATGTTGCTGCTGCTGTTGTTGTTGTTGGTTGGTTATTTTCATAACCTCCGTCTTGTCTATGTTCACCTGCAGTCCTGTCTTTGCTGCTTCTTCGACCAGTTTGTCGGTTTTCGCTTGTAAGTCTTCGATTTTGTGTGACATCAAACATAAATCATCCACGCGCGAAATCCAGGTCTTCTAGGTTCTTCACGTCGGTCCAGGATATCCCTGTCTTCTCGTTATATATATATATGCCATTGTTTTGAATTCTGTGACAATTTAGGTTCTCACATATCACCTGTAAACATAATCATAAAATGATATAGACGCAAGAGCAAACAAATATACACTCACACGTAAATTTTAGTAATGATTTGAAATGATTATTTAAAATACTTATGTTCTATTTGCTGAATATTCATTATGATGGGAAATAATTATATATGAAGTTTGTATACACCCAACTTTTGAAATTATATTCTCAATAATCCCGAGTGTGAATATACGTTATAGGGTGTTATATCTTACGCGCTTAAGGGCTTTCTCAGCTTTGATTGGCTAGTACAGTGGCGGAGAGTTTGACTTAAATTTGTCCTCGGTAGGTCATGCTGTGTGCAGGTTTTCGTGGTTGCGGCATGCGTTGTTTGCAAGCATGTTTGATGAATATAAATGTAAAATATTGGTATTCTAACGTTTTATTTTACTTATTTTGTGCATGTACCAGGCTTGGTTTATCATACATTCTGTTTGTTGGCCTATCGGTTGCTGGCGATGTCAAGGAATCCGTGAGTTCGAGGGCTTTTCTCGATTTTAGGTTATACATGTAGCATTTTATTGATGGATATTGCGACACAGATGGATGCTAATTGACAACGCCTTTTTAGTTTATTGCAGGTAGGCAATGCGGGTGAAAGTACTGCTGACGTCAGTGGAATTTTCGATGAAATTATGCTGGGAAGGCGTTTCTTTAGTTGGGAGGAATTTGAGAATTCCTTAGGAGAATTTCAACAAGTGAGGAAGTCATTTAATGCTAACAATGTAGTTGTCCTGCACTCACTATGTGCATATTCAAAGCAAAACAACAGGGGAAGACAGATATAAGTACGCTTACGTTTATTTTAAATGCACTTTTGGCGTGAACCGTGGAAAAGCTGGCCTGAAATTGCGAAACAAGTCGTAAGAGGAATTGTATTATGATAATATGTATGTTTAAGGTCTAAATGTTGCAACTGTCTGTCTGCATTTCGCGTAATTTTGCGTTATAGTGAATACGTGATAACATCCCACAAAATGGTCCACAACCATCCATGCACCAGGGTGTATATGCAGAATGATCCATGGTCTAGACGACTGTCAGCGGAAGAGAAAGAAAATATAGAACCACTTCTTCACCAATCACACTCATCAGATGAAATAATTATGCATGTTAAGGAAACATTCCACAAGGACATAACTCTTAATGACGTTAGAAATCTGAAAGCTTCAGTTAATAAAGGTAACGTTAATGTAAATGTAAACTACTTCAGGTATATCGAGCCGTTATGACATTTTTGAATTCCTAAAGTCCCGTGGGAAGTTATTGGAGTATTATGCAGATGAACCGATAAGGAATTCACTGATGAGAGTCTGTTTTTCTACTTATGAGCAAATAGATTTGTATAAACGTTTTCCGGAGGTTGTTGGCATCGATTCTACATATAACACAAATAAAGGGAAGTAAGTTTATTCATTAATTAATCAACATGCAGGTATTCTTTGTTTCAATTGGTTGTAACGGATAATTTTGGTCGTGGGAGACCGGTTCTATTTGCTTGGACGCGAAAGGAATTCAAGCGTGATGTTGTTTGGATTTTGGACTCGTTTCGTAGCATAATGGAAGACACCTCTAAAACAGAATCATTCATTATGGATTGTGCGCAAGCCGAAATAGGAGCAGTGAAGTTAACACACAGAGAAGCGCACATTGTTCTTTGTTCTTTTCATGTTTGTCGTGCATTTTGTCGTAAAGTAAATTATTTAAAAGCATAATTAAAATTTCAATTTTAGACGCGGAATCCCATTGTTAAGAACTACTTATGTCGCTTAATTCAGTGTAAAAGGAGATCTGAGTAATGCCTTTAATATTTTCATTTTTCCAGATTTAACTTCTATTTCAGAGTTATAAGCCGATTGGATGTTGGTGTCAGTCAGTATTTACAACGTCGTTGGATGAGTCGACGACACTTGTGGGCAGCAGCTTTCAGGGAACATGTACTGACTTTGGGTAATGATACCAACAATCGTGTAGAAAGTTCTCACAAGCAGATGAAGCGGTACTTGCTTAGATCAGATAGTCTGCATCAAAGCATGCTGAAGGTTCACAAATGGTTTCAACTTAGTAATTCTAGAATAGAGCAGGAGTCCATGATTGCTCAGTCGCGTTCCCTCAAGTATTCATGTTCCGAACGCATAATACCAATTTTACGCCACCTGACGCCATACACTGCGAAGAAAGTGATCGCTGATTATGCGAAGCGACGATGGACTTCTTTTCAGTTAGAAGGTTTTGATTATATCTTCTTGGATGACAATGGGAGACCAGTAGAGGTGGATCTGCGCGCATGCACATGTACTTGTATGACGTTCCAGACTTGTCGGTATCCCTGTCGACACTTGCTGATGGTGCATTTAAAGAAGGCGTGTTTCACAGGTAAAATACCCTTTTTTGAAACTTGTATATTCATTTACACGTAAGATATACTAGGTTGCCACCTGAAGTATTCCCTATTTTATGTCTCCATAGTTAATGCATATTAACCTACTCCTAAGTGACTGAAATTCGTAGATACTAAAATGTATATATATTTCATAAGGGTTTGTCTTAATTGAAAACAGGACCTAAGCACTGTCATTATTTATCCTTTAATATTGCGTGCATAATTCTATTTCCGTTTACCGTTACACCTTTTGTAGTTAATCATGTGCTGCAGAACTGTAAACGATGGACATGGTCTCGCCAATCGTACGCAATTCCAAGCACGTCAGCAATTGTGCCGCTAAATCAATGTGACTTATACGTAACCAATAGGAGGCTTATTAATGCGGGCCTGACGAGAATTTGCGACAAATATGGACGGAGGTTTGCCGCAGAGTTCGCTGGACAAGTAGTCGCTCAAATCAACAATGTTCTTGATGTGTAAATTAAATACTTTCGTATTACAATAATAATAAACTTTTCGTATTAAGATTGTTGCCTTTCTGTTAGTGTGTTCGCGTTGGGAGTACGGCATGCTAGACCGGTGCTCCCTAGGATATGAATTCCTTACTATACGTAAGTGCTAATCTGTAGGAACACTTTCCACCGATATAAGTCGTGAATTATAAGTACTTCAGTCACGTCGAAAAAAATTTGAGATTACGTCTCCTAGTCATAGATAAATCTGTAGGGACTAATTACAAAAATACCTAACTTCAATGTTTGACAAATAAGAATAGAACTTAGGGCCCTGCAGTTGACTTCGATTTCGTATGAAGTTAAGTGTAATCAAAAGCACTGTATTACTACTATTTCACTTAAAGCAAGATGTCAATCACTATGACTACGGGTGTTAACATACAGTGTAAACTGAAGTCTACACGAGAGGAATAATTTAATAGGTTGAGCTGTAGCAATGTTAGTGCGATTTCGCCGACACTGAATTATGCCTACAATTAGTTTCTCAGGCCTACATGTCGTCATAATGACAAATTTAGTTTCACTGAGATATAATAAGAAAAGTATGGTAAGCAGGATGTTAAATATATTTCATGAAAAATATTAAGCGAATTTCTTCACACAATTGTTTTTCGTAATTACTGCGGGGATGCGTAATTGCTGTGACCTGGTTGACTGACTTGACCGAACATCTACAAGTAAGTGAATAAAGTATAATTTTTAAATCGTTGAAGTCAGAAATAAGTAATGTAAAAGTGAAACGCTTTATATTCTCCTACCTTTGCTGAAAAAAGGTTCATTCTCCTTTCTCATTCTTTGGTCATGACAGCATTCTTCTGCGGTTTTCACTGTGACATACATTGTTCTTCTTCTAAAGTATAGCACCAAGCAAATAATACCTTAATATACTGTATAAATGGGTGTTTACAAGGAATGCATGACATCTCTACAGGTACAATAAGTTAGGCTATAAATTACAATCGTGAAGTATCGTAAATTAAAACTTTTTCAAAAGCTTACATTGTTCATTTATTGCACAAGCAATTACAACAGATTAAAATAAGAGTTAAACTCCGGACCCTTTACAATGAACACTGCATATATATCGGTAAGTGCTATTCCCTCACACAATTAAAAGGTATTCCAGGAGGAGAACAGCATCCTGAGAAACTGCAGTACTGTTTTCTAGCTATTCCGAAAATATTCCTTTGATGCTGTTTCTTAGCAACAGTTTGCAGTATTCATAGTGACTTTAGAGAAAACTTTATCATATCTTCACTTTCCCTTCAAGTACAATAGCATGCAGTAACTACATACACACAAGCATTGTAACTTAAACATCACAAAATCCCTACAGATAACTTGTTTCATAGTAAATGCTTTTGAAACATCAGCCATAAGTACACCTTCCATGTCATTCATAGTCACAAGTAATTCATTAAGCATCTCAGAATATGTTAGTGATGTGAACATGAAAAATTCGTAAGACTGATATAACTGAAGTAACACGTTTAGTAGTTGTAGGACATACCTGCGAGCTACTATTCTACAGAAAGGTGATTCGAATTTGAAGCAGTCTGGCATTGTAGAAGCACCATGTATACTATTCTTCTGGCACAAATGCACAATGATATCGAGATAATCTGATGCAATGTAATGCACTCAGCAATTACGGTCTCCCGAATTTCTATGTGACAATGTAAATTAAACTAGTATCACATCTTCAACTGAGCCATTTAAAATAGGAACTTCAGAGAAATGGATAAAATCACCAGGAAATTCAGCAAATTGCCTCATTCATCGCATACTCCCTTCGATGTGTTATGGAATATTTCAATCATCACGGATGATGATAAAAAAGTGTTTGGTATCCTCAAAACGTATATTTCACTTGTGTCTGTGGGCTACTTCTCCTTCAAATGTCTCGTTATCATAGAATAACTGCTATGAAAACAACCATTGTATACACCTAATTTTAAACCTATATTTCCTCAAAAACCTAGCAATTAATAGACCATTAAGGCTCTAAAACGCGAAGAATAGTCTTTTTTTGCTAAATTTCTTATATACGATGAGGTATTGAAGTAATACATACTCTGCGATATCATGACAGGTTCTTCCATTAATACGAACAAAATACTGGAAAATGTTGCTTTTTCGGTTAAATAAGCCTGAAACCAGTTATATATTATCTACTTTCAAAAAAGTAAACGCTTATAACGCCTCTATACGCGTGAACACGATAACCCATACATTCCGCGATAATATATCACTATAACGTTTATTGCCACTCATAATCCCATTTTCAAGATAATACATGTGGTAAGATATTTTTTGTTTGTTGCATCATCATGTAATAAGTTCTCATCTAGCTTAGCGCTTCGCTCAAAAACGTGTATAGGATCCTCCTGTGAGTGATGGAATGAAGAACACTCTTCAGTTTTTTGATTTAAAAACAACCATTTTTATGACAGGTGCATTTTTACACCTTACGGGAATGTATGCGAAAATTCTGTCAGAATTCCGCCTATTACTCTAGACATCATAAATTCTTCACAGTTTATTTTGTCTATGTAATACAATAGAAATTATAGAAAACAGACAGTGAACAGTTTGTCTACTATTCAGTTCGACAAATTATTTAATCATCCATATAGATGAGTTAGGCTGTGTATTATTTATTTTTTCTAATATATATTATATTTGAAGCGTAAGTATAAGGTTGTGAAAATAAGGGATTATAAAGTCGGCAATTGAAAAGATGTTCTTTTAGAAAGTAGAATTTCCTTCATTTAACTGAAAGATAAGGAAGAATAATGTTGTGTAACAACTCACCGGCTTTGCCTAGGGAACTGTTGCCTCTGTTCTTCAGAGTAAATTCACAATCATATTTTTTTAATGAAAATTATTTCTCACGTTTGCCCACGGACTGATATCAGTGAGAGAACCATTGAAAACCAGCGGTGGAGTACTGGACATCTGTCTCATCCTAGTTTGGGACTCATGGGCATTGCTCACCCATCCTAGGGGTCCGAATCCAGGACCTTCCAGTTACAAGGCTCATAAATTCCAATTTCTACCAATTCTTGATTTTACCACGACCACCAGACAATGTCATTGGTGAGCATTCTTCCTCACTTCCGACAGGATGGATCCCACTGGTGACAGCTTCCCACTAGAATTCCAGGAAACTCCGTCCTGTAGCTATTCACTAGCGAGGATCAGATTAATTTTCAAGAGTTGGTTTATAGGAATTTGATTTGTTTTTCAAGTTTGACCACCGTGGGCACGTACTGCCAATGAGTCCCAAACTACAACGAAACAGCTGTCCAGCACTCCCTGGTTTCTGTGGTCCTCTAACTAATACCAGTCTATGGACAAACTTGAAAAACTAACAAACCAAACAATCCAAATCTTGAAAATCTAAAATTATTATAAAAGTTCTACTACAAGTATCTCTAATTAAGTTAGCCACTTCTATTTTGTGTGGCTTGGATACTTGTAAGAAATTCCAAGTGACTGACGTCAAATTAAGATATAATAAGCACAAGAGTTACAGGAGGCACAATCGACTACCGATAGGTAACTAGTGTAAATAATGACTGGCCGGAAACATTTGAAAAAAATCTGACTGACTAACACTAAGTTTTCAAAGTAGAGCTTTCCGTGAAAGTGAAGCAGATGGAGTTGCCACGCTCTATACATCACACAAAAGTGGAGAAAAAAATCAAAGGGACTATAATAAACGCGAATGTACAGCAGAATGAATAATTACATGGACAATCACATAAATTTAATTGAAGTAGAAATGCCATACCACCAATATTCTCAAGCCGTTTGTCCTTTAAGTCTCCTTGACCACTGCCAGGTAATGAACATCCCTCCACATGCCTCAAGCTAGAAGTGAAAGAGTTCTCGGATTGGTGTCAAGTTTGGATTTAACCACACACAACTCTTTTCCAATTCAATCCCATGTCAGCTAACATTGCTTGGCAAGGAAAGCAGTCTTTTGGTATGAATAAGACGTGTCCAAGCGGTTTCAATATATGCAATTTCATAACCTCATCGATCGACTTTCCCTTCTCACTATGTATACCATGTATACACACCTCTTTCAGCTGAGTTCATCACTATAATTTTTCAACTCTCAGTCCTGAACTACACTGATTGTAATCTCGCGGAATTTTTCCTTTCTCTAAAGGTTACTATCATACCTTCTGCATGAACCTTCCTTAGATAATTTGATAGTTGCAGTAATAATAACATTCTTCAATCATTGAAAAATACATTCTATCATCTAAACAATCTATGTTATATAAAAGAAAAATACCTTTTTGTTCTAAATACAAAAATTGGAAGTCATACTGAACGAAGGATATTGTTTTTACTAATATCCAATCAAACTTCACAGTTGTAAACTCAGATTTATCATCACAATATTGACAACCAGCTATATGATAAATACAGT